CCCAACTCCTAACCAATCACTGAGACCTGACAGCCTACCTCATTTCAGCTGTGTCCCTCCGTATCCACGGCCTTCAGAGTAAAGTCTAAACTTAGCACGATCGTATTCAAGTCCCTCGATAGTCTGTTTCTGTTCCCTCCAGCCTCGTGTCAGTCAGCCCCTCGCTGTGCTCTCTGCCCTGGGTGTTCTGAACTGCTTTGGGTTCCCAGAACACGCCAGGGCTTTATATGCTCAGTCCCTGGCCTGGAACCCCCTTCCCCACCGTTCTATAACTTAATCTTCCACATCTATTTCTGTTCTAATAGGAAGCATTACTTTTAAATATTTTAATTGATTATGTACTAGCCTCTGCAGATCCTTTTGTCCTGGTCTGATACACCAAGGGACAGCCAGAGGCTCCCTCACTGACGGCCGTGTGTTTGCTTGGAGGTACAGTGTCAGGTACATTCAGGTGCTCTGCTCCATCTCCAGCCACAGCTGCGTTTCCTCTGCTGTTTTAAGCCTAGACCAGCCCTACGGGAATTTCCTCGGCGAGAGCTGGGCTCTGCTGGGTGAGGCTGTTCCTGCAGGAGTGGTGCTGGTCTGGGTCCCTGATGACCCTTTCTTGGGGCATAACTTGTGACCTGATAGTGACACTCAGTTAGACCTTTCTTACCTGGTTCAGGACGCTGAGGAGCAAGTTTCTACCTATTCTTGAATTTAGACAAAGGTAGCAAACCTACACATCTCTAAAAAAATGTTTTTGTTGTTTCTTTAGATATTACTTTTTCTTATTTACTGTAGTCTGTCTTCTGAGAAAAGGGTCCCAAAGCTTGATGTAACTTGCTTAAGAAGTATTATTAGCTGGTTATAAGCTCCATCTCTCCCTACAAGAGAAGCTTATGGGCTGCTTTGCTATCCAAAGACAGAAGGACCTAGGGTGGAAGGTGGTCTTCCAAGAATGGTTCTCACCCTGGGAACTTGTACTTTAAAAAGAGAGTTTTTTATACCCATCTGAATCCTCATGTCCCTTCCAAAGGTAGTGTTCATTGCTCTCCAAGCTCTCTGAGGCTCTGTCGACGTCCAGGATGTGTAACTTGCATTTACCACAAAGATTTAAAGGAATCAGTTAGCTCAGGCTTATTAAACAGATTAAGAGGAACAGGTTGATGGTTCTTAGGTGTAGTAATGTTAAAGTTGGCGTGAAATAAAACTTTAGTAATTAGGAGACCGTATTGTAACTAGGGCATTAACATATTTTCCCACAAAATTTTTTTAGTTTCAGTAATGCTTTTATCCTGGCAATGAAAGGGCCCTTCACGAATCCAAACTTCCCTAAAGATGGTGGTGCTGTGCTCTGTGCAGACGGCTGACGGGCTTGGCCCCTGGAAGCGCTGTTAGAGTTGCTGGAGGATTTCACCATCCTCCCACCTGCCAGTGTGACCTCATCTAGACTGATTCAGCCTGTGCAGTAGTAGTTGTTAAGAATAGAAGGGGCTGGCCCGGTGGCGTAGTGGTTAAGGTCAAATGCTCCACTTCAGCAGCCCACCATTTGCTGGTTTGGATCCTGGGTGCGGACCTATGCACTGCTCATCAAGCCGTGCTGTGGCAGCATCCCTCATACAACATTGAGGAGGATTGGAACATATGTTAGCTCAGGGACAGTCTTCCTCAAGCAAAAAGAGGAAGATTGGCAACAAATGTTAGTTCAGGGCCAATCTTACTAACCAAAACAAAAAAAAGAATAGAAAAAATGTTGTCAACAGAAGGCTAATCCATCTCCCAGGCCTCACACAATATTTTCAGTCTCGTGTTGTAAAAGATGAGACGTGAAAGATGTTCCTTAATATTGTTTGTATTTGAAATGCTTTTTAAAGGGAATTTTAGAGACCCCGGAAGTAATTTTGGCCTGACAATGTTTACAAGATGCTGATTTTCGATTGAAAAGAATTTGAAGGGTGTGGTCTACAGCCTGGCAGGGGCGTGTGTACTGGTGGAAGCACTGGCGTTTACCTGGCTGTGTCTGTCACCCTGTCTGAGCTAGTGTCCACACACTCGTGTATCTGATTTTACTTGTGTGGAGAAGAATCAAGATCAGAGAGGACTGGGATCACATGTCTTCAATCAGACAAAAGTTACTGGTATTTGGATAAAAAGCTGGAATTCTTTTTTTTGAGGAAGATTAGCCCTGAGCTAACTGCTGCCAATCCTCCTCTTTTTGCTGAGGAAGACTGGCCCTGAGCTAACATCCATGCCCATCTTCCTCTCCTTTATACGTGGGATGCCTACCACAGCATGGCTTGACAAGCAGTGCCATGTCCACTCCTGGGGTCCTAACCGGCGAACCCCGGGCCTCCGAGAAGCGGAACGGGTGCACTTAACCGCTGCGCCACCGGGCTGGCCCCAAACGCTGGAATTCTTAGTGTTTAGTAAGTTGCTTTTGCTCCACATTCCTCAACCTGTTTTCTCTCTCTTTTGTTTAAATCATATGCCGTCTTTTGGATATACATAAAAAAAAAAACTTGCACCCTTTTCAATCCTTGGAACAAATCACCCTAATTTTGATTTCTTTTTTTTTCTGAACTATCACTTCTATCCCAGAAATTCTGAAATGATTCCATGAAGGAAGCACGCCATTCACGCTAACCCCAGTTGAAAGTGCAAATGTACTTTATGTGAAGGAATTATTCCTCCTCAATTGTTATAATTGTGACTAAAGCAACTGAAGTGAAAAGTCACATGATTTAAGCAGAAAAAAGGATGCAGAATTATTTGGAATTTATTAACAGCATGAATTATGTGTGCCAATAGAGGAGGAAAAGAAAGAGGGAAATACATCAAAATGAAAATAGTGACAGTATTAGAATGGTGTGATTATGGATATACTGTTCTCTTTTCAAAATTGTACTTGATGGCATTTTTAAAACAAAAACTTGTTTTAAAGTATATTTTGTATAAGTATCAAATTGTACCCTTAATAATTATCTGATAGTATATCAAGAAATTCTCAAAGTGATTTTTAAATCATTCATTTTGTTGCGATTCAGCCAAATAACCTTAATGGTTCTTTTCCTAGATTTTAAAATTATGTTTAAGAATAAGTAAAAATGCTAACATATAGTATAAGTAGTTTTTTTACTATCTTTGGAACATTTCTTTTTTCATAAAAATCTTAATCTTGATTAGGAATACTGTGGTATTGACTTTTTTCTTTTTGGGAGAAATATAATTGTGTTCAAAAGTCTGGGCATATCTAAATAGCAAGAGTAGAAATGGTAATTTGAACAGCAAAATGTAAACTAGAAGTTCAGAGAGACAGTGTTCAAAATATACTGACTGTCTGCAGCCTACATTCCTGGTGATTCAGAGGAAAGACCAGCGTTTATCTTGTCGTTGAAGCCATGTGCTGTGTGTGCAGGAGGGAAGTGCATACTGGTCAGAGGTCAGAAGCAGAATGGATGAGGTTTGAAGGGAAGGTTTATTGTGGGGTGTTCGTAACCCCCTGGCCTCACGGGAGATGTTGTTGTCTCTAGTAGATTTGGTGGAAACTTGGGCAGACCTGGAACTGTGACATCATGTGCCAGCTGGGGAAGTTAACAAGAAGCTGTGGCCATATATAGACCTCTCTGTGCTGGGCCAAGAGGTAGAGTGATAAGAAACGTAGACCTTGACCAAGTCAGTGCACTGGAGGCACTGACTGGAGTGAGCACCTTGGAAACTTCAGTCTGAAGAGGCTCTGGGTGTGAAAGGTCTAGAAATCGTGCCATGAGCCAAACAGTGAAAGGAGCCAGTGATGTTTAATGTGAGGCAGGAAAGGGCTAAAAGGGTCTGACAAACACCTTGAAAGTCCAAAGGTTAGTTGGTGCACGTGAAGCAGCATGTTTTCTGTGGACCTGTGGGGCACTGAACTGTGTAGAGCTGGGGGAGATGGGCTAGCATCACGCCAGGAAGATTTTCTTATTGCTGGAGCTTCCTCCAATGCAGCGTAGGGGTGAGTTCTGGATGCCCACAGGTGGGGTGCTGCAGGGGCTCCACGCCGTGTGGTCAGCCTCTAAGCCGCCTTCCAGGCTTGTGTGTGAGAAGCCTCTGCTTAATCCCCACCAGTGGACTGGAGCTTGTGTGGCATCCCATCGCCCTGGCCCTTACATCGGCTTCTCAGCTGAGGGCAGCACAGTTGTTTCCTTTGCTTCCTTTCCTTCGTTGTTTCTAAGCTCAGGTCCAGTCGTAGAATGCTGACTAACTGTCACTGCCCCTTTCTCCTATGTCACCTTCCCCTAAAACAGGTGGCTCCCTTTCCATGCCCTCCTCAATCTTTACCTTAACCCAAAAGCACAAAATGGCACTTGTATATGTTTCTTCATCTGTTCTGAAATGTTGTCTGCCCTTACTCTGGATGTGAGGTTCAGTGTGACCCCTCCATCTCTCTCTCAGGCATTCTGTCTGTTCTCATCTGCTCGAAGACAAATACGCACCCTGTAGAGTCTTATGCAGTCTTCAGCCAGGAGCCTGAAGTGGAGACGGGGCAGGGCCGGGAGGTGGGAGTTGGGGGGGGGGCTGATGTTTTCTTCTAAACTCCGGGTGATGTGGAAGGTGGCTTAGGGTCACGTGCTCCATAGGAACATCAACTTTTAAGTCTTTAAATTCCCTTTACCCAAATGCAAGTAGATTTAGTAAAAAGGACTATTTTATTAGAGACTTAGCAAATTAATATATTTTAAAAACTAAGAGTTAGAAATAATTAGTATTTTCAGACACATGTGTCTGGACATAATTATTTCTGTAGTCAAAGTAGGTATGTGTTAGTCCAGTTTGTTGTAACAGGATTTGTACATTTGGAATACAAAAACTAGCAGAATTTCTCCATTTTTAACAGTAACTAAATAGTATCCAGTAAACAAGTATAACATTTTTAAGTGTTTTTCCTCTGTCACATATATATTGGATTGATACTGTTATTTTTCTCATGTAAATTCAGAATTTATCATCTTTTATTGACCCTCTGGATCTTTTCTTCCCTGCAGGAATAGGAGGCCTTCAAGACTTTGTGCTGAAGTCTGCAACGCTGTGCAGCTCACCGTGCTGCCCGCCATTTATACCACTCAGCTTTGAAGCCACCCCTATTGTGAGGGTTGCTGTTGAACCGAAACACCCAAGTAAGGTGACCTTTTTTAAAGCATATGGTGTTCATCACACTTTTTCACTGTGTGCATTTAGTAATTGGTTCTTCACCGTTTGCCTCAGCAGTAGACTGTGCATCTTCATGCAGGTGCAAAATAGTAGTCTTTGCAGCTGTGACGCCATACAGACAGCCAGCTCTCCCAAGACCTTGTCTTGGGAACCTTGGTTTTAGGAGTATGGTGCCCCTTCTCTCCAGGGAGACTGTGTTCTTCATGGCAGGACAGGCTCGTCTCTGCATCCTGCACAGCCCTGGCAAAGGTTGTGTCTCAGCAGAGCTCGTGCGTCATGTGACTGGTCCTTACAACCTTGTCCTAAGCACCTTGGTTAGGAATCCCTCATCTGCCTCGTGCTTCTGGGTTTGCTAGATGCTATGGACACGGAGCATCTCCTGTCTGTCTCCTGCCCTCCCCCTGGCTGTGTGATGCTCATGTAGGCCAGACCGTGGAATAACTCATCCCTGGTCTGGTCTGTGCCATGTGCCTGACCAGTCCTCATCAACTCTTATATTTTGCTTCCCGTGACTGTCGCTAACCCCTTATTCCCCATGTCTTTGCTGTTCCCAGTGCTTAGTGGTTGTCAGTGAAGAATTTCCAGGCTGTGCTTTCAGGGAACCAGAGAACAAATGGGTAAAATGGTAGTTTTCTGTTGAGGTATATGATGGCCTCATTGCCTCTGCATCTCTCTATCCCTCTTGTCTCCAGAGCTGGAGTCTTCTGAAAGCTCATCTCTGCCTCCAGGTTTTTTTTTTCCTTTGGTGAGGAAGACTGTCCCTGAGCTAACATCCATACCAGTCTTCCTCTATTTTGTATGTGGGATGCTGCCACAGCATAGCTTGATAAGCAGTGCGTAGATCTGTGCCCAGGATCTGAACTCGCGAACCCTGGGCTGCCGAAGCAGAGTGTGCAAACTTAACCACTGTGCTACTGGGCCGGCCCCTGCCTCCAGTTCTAAGACATATTCTTAGCCATTGAGGGTCCCTGGGACCCAAGAGCAGATGCTTGGAGGACTGCTTCTGACCTCTGGGCCCAGTCTTAGCAAATAACCATCTGTCTGCCTTGGGCCTCAGAGACACTCTTGCTGGGCTGTCGTTGGGGCTGACAGGGCCGTGGTTGCTGCATGGATTGACGCCATCCTCTGTAATACCTGCTTCTTCTCTGGGCTTGTCCAGATCCTGGCTCTTTTATTAATGTTATGATAGATTACAACCTTGTGAGATTTCAGTTGTACATTTTTGTTAGTCATGTTGTGGGTACACCACTTCCCCCTTTGTGCCCTCCCCCCACCCCCCCTTTTCCCTGGTAACCACCGATCAGTAGATCCTGGCTCTTTATTGTTTGTTCTTGTCTTCTGCCTGCTGGGCTGGCTCTGGCCATTGTCAACTGCCTCCAGCCCTAAGGAGCACATACAACACAAGGACACTCACTTTTATTTAAGTTGCGACATTTGAGTCTGGCAATGGTGGTTTATTCTTAGGTGTTTCTAGTATTTGTTTATATCTTATTTCTTACTTAATTTTTTTCTGTTCCATTTGTATCTAAATGTTTTAAATAGAGATTAAAGAAATAATTGACAGTTTAACCCATAATGTTTTACTAGAAATTTATAAATTTTTAAAGTCTGTGTGACGGTTGTGTGCTGTTCTGTGCTGTTATCCAACCAAGCAAGCCTGGCCCCAAACGGCAGCGACCCTGCCCCGGCTGTGTGAGGCCAGGGGTGCCGGTGCCCTGCGCACTGCCTCTGCCAGACGGATGCTCAGTAAGACCAGCTTTCTTTCCATAAATGAAGTATCCAGCAAGTAGGACTGTTTAGGGTTATTCATCCAGATGCCAAAGTTTATTTCTTCTTATGTGTATCGTTAGATTTGTCTGAACTTTGTAAAAAGTAAACTAAAATGATTAGAAGGGGCACTCAGTTTTCTTCATAATTTTAAAAGAACTGTTGCTCCTTTTTCCCGTTAGGTATATTTTTGCTGCATTTACCCTGCATGTTCTTGACTGTGTCAGTGAGGTACCCCATTCTGCATTTCTGGGTCTGCATTTTAACCTCATTGTTTGTCTTCTCGGTGTCATTGCAGTGTCGACATCTTGTTTTACATGTGGGGCGCCTGGGAATACTTGTCTTCGTGCTTTCCTCACTCCTGTGAGCCCTCAGACATGACTGTCTGTCTGCTCTTCGCCCTGCTTCCTGTGCCCATCCTTACTTTGGGGCTGTAGCTCCTCCCCATGGGTTACGTGTCTGATTGCTGTTGGGATGTCCCACCCTCTTGTTCCTAGACTTTCCAGTAATACTGCCCCCAGGAAGCACTGGGCAGATGCATTGTTTATTTCTAAACAGAACATGTGTCCCCAGGTCCTCTTTTCTTTCTCATACTGATGCTCCTCTCAGCCCCACACAGAGTGAAGCCCCACTCGCAGTCTTCCCTCAGGCTTCTGTGCATCCCACATGTGGCTCCTGCTGCTGATCTGTGAGGGTGCTGAGACCATCACAGAGTGAGGGCGCTGTGGTTGTCTGCCTGCAGGCTTCAAATCTAGTGACTGTGGCCATGAGCACAAGCTCCTTAGCTTCTCTATACCTGTTTCCTCATCTGTAAATGAGAATAGTAATCATCCATGTCTCTTAGTTAATGAGTTCATATATGTAAAGTGCTTGTCTGTCATATTGTTAGCGCTATAAAGTGTTAGTTATCGTTAGAAAAGCTTCATTTCAAAAAATACGTAGCTGTGAAAAAATAACTGGTCATGGAAGAGATATGGATAATCAACTTTTATAACATATATTGACAACCCCTGATTGCAGAAAGCTCCTGTGGTTTTGTTTGTTTGGTATCTTGAAAACCAGGCATGGGGGAATTGCTGAGTCCTCCTTCCAGTGTGGAAGTGAAACAAGACTGCGTAAAAATGCCTTCAAAGCTAAGGTCTCTGCTAGGTCGACACAAGAGGATTCCTCTGACCTGTTGGAGTGAATAGTGGCCACAGAGTCTATGGAAAGGGGTGAAAAAGCAGCCACACCCATCCATGCCCTCAACTCCCATGACCTGTAGGGCAACAGCTGTGATATTCCAAGAGCCCCTGCAAAATGGGATGCAGAGGTGCCGTGGCTCCTGCGGGAGCAGCTGGTCATGTGGTCCAGCTGTCACCCAAGGGCAGCGTTCCTCTCAAGCTCGCAGTTCTGTCAAGCAGTTTCATAAATAATCAGTTTAAACGTGGGGCTCTGGTTCAGTTTCTTGAATTGAGTATCATATTAAACGCTGCTCTTGCTTGTTTGTTCATTGTATAGGTTCTGTTTGGGGAAGAGTTCTGTTACATTTCTAGGTATATAGTATGTACATTTGTAATAAGATTGAGGTGGAGTCACAAGTATGATGATGGCAGTTTATATATTTGCTGAGTATTTGAAGAAGTGCTATAGATCAGCTTTGGGGTCTTGAGGATAAGCTTGTAAGTGTCTCATGTTAGCTCTCTGTACAAATAAATTACTAGAAGGTAGTTTGCTTCATGTCGCTGAATTATTTGGAAGAAAAATAAGCCATTATTTTAAGAGTTGATTTTATTGTACTTTTCCCTTCACTGGCCACAGACATCATCTTTAGATTGTATTTAATCAGTATTTCATTTTGTTAACCTAGGTGAAATGCCTCAGCTCGTCAGAGGAATGAAGCTGTTAAACCAAGCGGATCCCTGCGTCCAGGTTTTAATTCAGGAGACAGGAGAGCACGTCTTGGTCACAGCAGGGGAAGTCCATCTTCAGCGATGCCTGGATGATTTAAGAGAAAGGTTAGGAGGCGATGGAGATGGGGAAGTGATAGCTCCCAGATCAGTGGGCTGTGTTAGTGTTTCCTAAACTGGTTGAACTTAGAATGTGGTTTGTTTCTGTAGAAAAAGGAAATGTCCTCAGCTCCAACAGGAGCTGTTATCATGTTGTTGGATCATAGGTTTAATTTCTAATAACTCACAAATAGCATTCACTTCTGTTTGAATAATTTTGCGTTTTTAGCTTGAGTCATAAAATATTTTCATTTTACTTTAAATATATACACACACGCACAGTATATCAGGACAAGAAAATAGCATCATGTTTTGTAAACTTAGACGCTGATTTGGACAGACTTCTTTGCTGATGAATGTGGTCTCTACAGTGTTTATATTTCTCCATCATGGTGATATGTAAGTGCCGTAAAGCAGGCATCCCAAATCACTTTTTGTAAATAACATTTTTCCTCTTTGTTCCAAAGGCAATGTATGTTTATTGTAGCAATTAGGAAAATACAGAAGAAAACAAAGAATCATTCGGTTACCTGCAGAGACAGCCACCATTACACTTGGCTTCATAAATGCCTGGTCTCTTTGATGCAAGGTCTTTAAGCACAGCTCTGAGTAATTGGTTAGGATAAACTCCTACAGGTATTGTTGCTGGCTCAAAAGGTGGCATATATTGCTGGCATAAGAAAGACTCTTCCACGGGCTGGCTCCGTGGCCGAGTGGTTAAGTTTGTGCGCTCTGCTGCGGAGGCCCAGGGTTCAGATTCTGGGCGCGGACATGGCACTGTCCGTCAGGCCACGTTGAGGCGGTGTCCCACATCCCACAACTAGAAGGACCTGCAGCTAAGATATACAGCTGTGTACAGGGGGGGTTTGGGGAGATAAAGCAGAAAAAAAACAAAAAAAGACTCTTCCAGTTTACACTGTAACTAGCAAGAAGTATTTGAAAGTGTTTTCCCAGCCTTCACCAATTCTATATATTATCGTTTTTTTAAAACTTTATCAATCTGGAAGACAAAAGGTATTCATTGTTAATATACATTTTCTGTGCTTACTGATGATATTGAAACTTTTTAATTATGTGTTTATTGGCCGTGTGTTTTTGTTGTTGGATGAACTGCCCTGTAATGTCCTTCCTTCCCTTTATTTTTAAATTTTCTGGGACTATAATAATCGTAGCTAAAATAATAATTATAAACGATCAACATAATTCTGTACTAGATATTACATGCCAGTCACTGTGTTAAACACTATTTGTCTCATTTAATCCTTGTAACAACCCAGTGAAGTTGGTAGTAGTCGTAGTAACAGTCCTGTCACGCCTCTGCGCGCGAGGCTGCCAGACTGGGCAGGAGGAGCTGCTGCGGCGCCTCCCTTCAGGGTTTGTAGAAACTCGCGCCGCGTCGGGAGGTGCTTTTTTCTGTTCTTCGGGGTGAAGCGGTGCTGTGGCTTTTCCTCTTGGCGTGTTTTATAGCTGAAGTTAGTATAGACTTGGAGGTGGGCCTTCTGTGTCTGTCACGCTTGTTGCCGTTTTCTAGGAATTTCTGAAGGCTCTGCTGTTGCTTACAGAATAATGCTAATTAGATAAATTGTAAGACATAATGTATAAAATAACCTAATTCTCAGAGTTTTTAAAAAAACGATTGAAATGTTATTTTTTGAGGTCTTTGAGCTAAATTACTTTCTCTCTTTTCACACTCTTTGCTACCAAATTAAAATCCATGTTAAATAACCTCACGTTTCTCAGGCCGTTAACTCCACTTTGAAAATAATACTTTTTGGTACTTAGAATTATGTTTCAAATAATCTTCCCCCTTAAACCTAAAAACTAATTTTAATTGAATTACTTATCTGTATCTTTGTTTAGTCTTTTTTCATGTTTATCTCATGGTTTTTATTATGAGTGCTTTTTAGTATCAGGAGAAAAAAGTTATATAATAAGAGAAATTAGTTTTCCAGAAATGCGTGCCCTTAACATGGCGTTAAAATATTTTAATAAATCAATTTATTCTGGAAACCACTCTATGTAAACCTTTTTCAGAAAATATCCATATCCAAATACCTAAAAATAATTTAGACATAGATTGAGGACAGTAAAAGCAATAACACACCTGCTTTTCAAGAAATTTATACTGCCTTAATAAGATACTTCACGAATTCTGAAGTATTTGTTAACTGCTTTTCCTCAACATTCCAATTTCTGAAAGTGGTAACACCTCCCTCCAAGAGCAAACGAAACGAAAAACCAGTTTCCTTTGCTCTGTGGCCTGGTGTGATGGAGAATAACCTCAGCTCAGGATTCTGTCAGAACTCAGCGAGGTCACCCAGAGCCCAGGTAGGGAGAAATCTCCCTGTTCCCCTCGTCTGGGCAGTCAGCAGGAAGTCAGCTAGACTGAGCGGGGAGGGTAGCGGACAGTTCCGCAGGCCCGTCAGGCCATACTTTATGCTGTGCTGTTCTGGAAGCCAGAGGGAGCAGAGTCAAGTCGTGCTGACCAAAGGCCACTGCACCTCAAGTCCCAGTGTCACGTAGAGTGTAGGGCCCCTGATGTGCTGGGTTTGGGGCAGCTTCTCCTGGGCCAGGAAACGTGAGAGAAGATTACCAGCAGTTCCATACCAATACATTTTAAAGGAAATGAGGAAATTCCTGGAAAAATCTGACTTAAGAAGAAATAGAAGACCTGATAGTCCTGTAACTATCGAAGGAACTCAGTGTTGGAGTAACATTAAAAATAGCAATCAGTGTAAATTTACCGGATTAATAGAAAAAAGGAGAGAAATCACCTCGCTAGACAAAGGAAAAAGCATTTATAAAATGCAGCTCCATGGATGATCACAGTTCTTAGCCATCTGGGAATAGAAGGAGATTTCCTTATATTGATATCAGTATCTTCAGAATAGCTATGGCAAACACGTACTGATAAACTTTTTGAAAGCTTTCCTTTGAGATCAAAAATAAGACAAGGGTACCCCTCTTACAAGTTTTATTTAACATTGTACTGTAGATCTTGGGCAGCATTATAAAGAATAAAAAATAGAAGATAGAAGAATTGAAAAGGAAAAATTAAAACTGTCGTCAGTTGCAGATGATATGATTATGTAACTAATAATGCAAAGAGATCTATAGACACTGGGATTTGTAAGTAAATGCAGCAAGGTCGCCATATTCAGGATTAATGCGCAGAATCTATTGTATCTTTATATATCACTAATAAACAAAATGAAAATTATTATTATTATTTTTTTTTTTTACAACTTTCTTTAAGGGTTTATTTTCCTCCCATCATTTCTTTTTATTTTTTTTATTTTTTTATTTTTTTTAAATTTTTTTAATTTTTTTTATTAATGTTATGATAGATTACAACCTTGTGAGATTTCAGTTGTACATTTTTGTTAGTCATGTTGTGGGTATACCACTTCCCCCTCCGTACCCTCCCCCCACCCCCCCTTTTCCCCGGTAACCACCGATCAGATCTCCTTCTCAATATACTGATTTCCACCTATGAGTGGAGTCATATAGAGTTCGTCTTTCTCTGACTGACTTATTTCGCTTAACATAATGCCCTCGAGGTCCATCCACGTTGTTGTGAATGGGCCAATTTCGTCTTTTTTTATGGCTGAGTAGTATTCCATTGTGTATATATACCACATCTTCTTTATCCAGTCATCAGTTTCTGGGCATATAGGCTGGTTCCACGTCTTGGCTATTGTAAATAATGCTGCGATGAACATAGGGGTGCAACGGACTCTTGAGATATCTGATATCAGGTTCTTAGGATAGATACCCAGTAATGGGATGGCTGGGTCATAGGGTATTTCTATTTTTAACTTTTTGAGAAATCTCCATACTGTTTTCCATAGTGGCTGTACCAGTTTGCATTCCCACCAACAGTGTATGAGGGTTCCTCTTTCTCCACAACCTCTCCAACATTTGTCGTTCTTGGTTTTGGATGTTTTTGCCAATCTAACGGGGGTAAGGTGATATCTTAGTGTAGTTTTGATTTGCATTTTCCTGATGATTAGCGATGATGAAAAATGAAAATTATTTTAAGGTTACCGTTTACAGTAACAACAAAAATATCAAATACCTAGGACTAAAAATGCATTCATATTTATAGGCCCTCTAAGCAAAAACTATGAAATATAAAAAAGGTATATACCATCTTCATAATTTGAAAAACTCATTATTATAATGATGTCACTTTTCCCCAAACTGATTCTGCATTCAAAGCAATCCCAGAAAAAATCTCGTTAACTTTATGTTTATTTGTTTTGGGAACTTGACAAGTTGATTCTAAAATTTGTGTGGAAATGCAAAGGGCCAATAATAGCCAAAATCTTTTAAAAACAAGATGGAAGTTCTTACTGTACTGGAAATCAAAACTTATTTAAAGGTACAGTGGTTAATTATGTGATGGTGACACACGGACAGACAGATCAGTGAGCTGGCATAGAGAGTCCTGCGGAGTAACGTGGAAAGGGTGGACTTTCCAACAAATGGTGCTGGCCAGTTGCATATCCATGTAGAAAAAATGCAACCTGACCTACCCTCGTGCCGTACAAATCCAGGTGGACTGTGGATTAAGGTGTAAAAGGCAAAACTATGAAGTGCCTGAAAGATAGTGTAGGAGAGTATCTTCAAGACCTCGGGATAGGGAAAAGCTTCTTAAAATAAAGCATCAGTGACAAAGTAAAGGTTTGACCATCAGAAGACACTTAAAAGAGTAAGAAAGTAAGCCACAGGGTTAGAGAAGACCTCTGTGATGCACACTCTAGACAAGGAGCATACAGCCCCTGTATGTAAAGAATTCCTACAAGTAAGTGGGGAAGGTGACAATCCCCTAGAAAAGGGGACCAAGACTGGAACAGGTCTTCACAAAAGAGAAGTCTAAAGACATTAAGCATATGAAAAGATATTGAACTTATTAGTAGTTATTAGTAATTATTATTAGTATTTAGTAATTATTATTAGTATTTAGTATTAGTATTTAGTATTAGGGTATTAGTAATTAGTAATTAATGAAATGTAAATTAAAGCCAAAGTGAGGTGCCTCTGCATACCCACCAGAGTGGCTGAAATTTTCAAAAGCCACAATATCAAATGGCGGCAAAGACGCGGAGCAGTAGGACTTGCCTGCACGGCGAGTGGAGTGGTAGCCACGCAGCTGCTTTGCAGTGTTGTCCAGTGTCCTCTGCTGGGGGGATGGGCACTTCTTCTGGTGGCAGATCTGCCATTTCTGCTCCATGTGTGCTTAACACAAAGCTGGACAAATGTGCATCAGGAATATTCATGGACACAGCAATTTTAATAGCCCCAAACTGGAAACAACTCAAACCACAAAATAGGTAAATAAATAACTTATGATATGATCATGCCATGGACTTGTACAGCATTGCCTCAGTGGACAAGCCAGCTCTGCAAACATGGCTGACTCTCAGCATCTTGTTGAGCAGAAGAAGCCAACTGAAGAAAAATTGTTTGATTTTGTTTATACGACGTCCAAACAGCAGGCCAGGATGAACTGTAGAGATAGGGGTGACATGTTTAGGTGGTAAAAAGAATTCAAAAAAGGGGGTGACAGTAACATTCAGGATAGCAATTGCCCTCGTGGGACTGGGAGCAGGCTTGATGGTCCTTCTGAGGTACGGCAAGGCTGTTTCTCAACTCGGGTGGCGGCGGCTCACATGGCCATTGGCTTTGTGGTGAACCATAGGTCAGTGGGCTTTTGTGTACTGGTCTATGTGACACTTAAATTTCACAATTATGCTTACATTAAGAACAGGTATAAAATTCTAGAGTTTTTTAGATCTCGTAGGACAGAACCTGCCTTTAATATATAAGCTTTTGTTCAGCTTCTGCAGACATTTTCAGGATGTATTACGTACAGGAATGGGAGACCAGGCCCTAGAACCTGTCAGAGTTGTCAGCATCCAAATCTCCAGATGGTGACGCTCAGACGTGGCAGGAGGCCACAGGACACGCCAGTGTGGTCTGAGCCTGCTGCCTTCTTCCTGAAGTCCTGATGGGCTCTACAGCGCCAGGATTGGAAGGACCTTGGCCCTGAGGCACTTGGCTGGTGTGATGCCATGCACACTTCCACGGGAGGAGTGGTTTTAATTAATCTTATCAGTGATTGCTACAGGAGACTTCTTGGGAACCTCAGAAATTTGAAGGACTAATAGGACTGAAAGCCCTTTGACCTTAAAATGCAATGAAAAGAGGACAGTGTCATAGATGTGTTCACTCTCATGGTTTCAATAGCTGTGCAGTTGGTTTTCTTGAATGTTCTAAGTATATGAACATTTTTTTTAAATGATAATTTTAAAGATATTTTCCTAGTCCTAAGATTTCAAATACTTTTCTTTTTTAAAAATCAGGAATGGATATTAAATTTTGTTGAATGTCAATTTAGCTCTTTTTTTCTTGGTGAGGAAGATTGGCCCTGAGCTAACATCTGTTGCCAATCTTCCTGGTTTTTTTCCCCTCCCCAAGCCCGCAGTACGTAGTTGTATATCCTAGTTGTAGGTCATTCTAGTTCTTCTCTGTGGGATGCTCCCACAACACAGCCTGATGAGCAGCTTGTCGATCTGTGCCCAGGATCCAAACCAATGAACCCCAGGCTGCCAAAGCGGAACACATGAACCTAACCACTACACCACTGGGCCAGCCTCTCAATTTAGCATTTTTCAAGATGATAACATAGATTACTTTGACATTTTTAAATGCGATATGTTATTTTAAGACATCTCCTAATACAAATCAGTTTTTATAACCTGTGATAAAAGCTACTTGGTGTTGTGGTAAATTATTCCTTTAATATGTTTAATTTGATTTTTCAGTGTAGCATAATGGGTAAGAGCATGGATTCTGAGGTCAGACTGAGGCTTGAATTCTAGCTTCTCCACTTGCTAGCTGTGTGACGTTGGAGAAGTTACTTGATCTTTCTCACCTGATTTTCTCCTCAGCAGAGTGAGGATAATAATATACCTGCTAAAGAAATAATATGTGTAAAACATGTAGCACAATGCTTCATATGTAATAAGTGGTTAATAAAAAATACACACATATTTACTTTTTTTCATTATTATTATTTTTTTTTAGAACAACTTTATTTATTTTTTTTCCTTTTTCTCCCCAAAGCCCCCCAGTACATAGTTGCGTATTCTTCGTTGTGGGTTCTTCTAGTTGTGGCATGTGGGACACTGCCTCAGCGTGGTCTGATGAGCAGTGCCATGTCCGCGCCCAGGATTCGAACTAACGAAACACTGGGCCGCCTGCAGCGGAGCACGCGAACTTAACCACTCGGCCACGGGGCCAGCCCCTTTTTTTTCATTATTTTATCGTAGGTTTTTATATCTGAATTCTTAGGTAAAATTGAATTACAGTTTTGTCCATGTATGCTGTTTTTCTCAGGTTTGAGTATCAAAGTAATTGTAAAATAATAAAATGTCAGGTAGACATCCGTCTTATTGTATATTCTGCAGCTATATGTAGCCCTGAAGTAAGCCAGTCCTTGAAAGTGAGCAAATTCATTGGCAAACCAAAACCTTTCTTGGAAGGAATTTTTTCCCCACAACATTTTTGTCTTTTTCCACACATTGTGATCTGTTTAGGTTCTATATTCTAAAATCAATTTTGGTAACATATTATTTTTAGAAAACCATCCATTTATTGAGTTTTCAAATTTATCAACAAGTATAAAATCAGGTAAACCAAATAGCCACCCCACACCCACAAAATGTAGAAAGCAGAAAAAAATCTAGAATTAAATGTAAGTATTTCAAAAACTTTTACTTTTAGTATTTGGTTCCCTTATTGAATAACATTTCCCAGGGAAAAGCATTGTTCCAGGATCCCAAAACTTCATATAACATATACATGTACGCACACAGATACAGTATATGTGTGTACATACATACATGTACGAACATTTATACATACGTAAATGTTCCACAATGCCAGTAGCAGACACAGACGAGACCCAGCTTTAGTATTACCTGGGAATGAGGTAGGCAGACAGTAAGAAAAAAAGATTGCATGGTGTCATTGTCATCAGAATCAATCCATGCCAGTTTGCAGAATCTGCCCTCTGTGAGCTAATAGCTCATTTGGAAGAAAATGAGCATGAAACTAAACTTGAGAGCATGTGAAACAGAGGCCAGACTGAGGTTCAAGACCTGTGCCCTCCATTACGGGAGCCACTAGCCACATGTGGCTGTTTAAAACTAAATTAAAGTTGAGTAAAATTAAAAATTTAGTTCCTCAGCCACACTAGCCACATTTCAAATGTTCAGTAGCTATGTGTGGCCATTTAAATTTAATTAAAGGTAAAATTTTATTTCCCCAGTTGTACTAGCCACATTTCAAATGCTCAGTAGTCACGTTTGAGGTGAATATCTTCGTCATTGCGGAAAGTTCTTTTGGAAGGTGCTGGTCTGGACAAACTCCCGGGTCGCTGGGCCTTGCTGTGAGCCTCGTTACCCAAGCCGGACACACGTCAGGGTTTGCCTGGATGTCCTGAAGTTCTGTGATTCTTCGTCTGTTTAGAGTTACAGTCATTGAGCTTTTCTTCTCCAGACTCTTAAATCAGCAAATATTATTTTAAAGAAATTGATATGTCAAATTTTACTAAAACATTTATTTTCCATTGAAAACATTGTTATCTAAATGCGTGGTTTATTTATTTTGAGAATGAACAAAGCAGTGAAATTCTAATACATGCAAAGAGCTCCCTGAAGGTATGTTCCCATTAGCAGTAGTCTTCTAAATCTGGAATGGAAGCAGTTTTTGAATTCTGATATAATGTAAATTACTGATCTTTCATAGTAAAATAATTTTTACATTTCTGTGTTTTTGCAGAATCTTCATTGCGTAATATTTCTATCTGGGAGTTTTGATGCCATTTTGATTATAACCTTCTGTTATTTCTCTTGAATTTGTCTGTAGGTTTGCAAAGATTCAAATCAGTGTATCTGAACCCATTATTCCATTCAGAGAAACAATCACAAAACCCCCAAAAGTTGACATGGTCAATGAAGAAATAGGCAGACAACAGAAAGTTGCGGTCATACACCAAACAAAAGAAGATCAAAGCAAGGTTCCTGAAGGAGTCCCAGTCGACTCTGATGGACTGGTCACCATCACAACTCCCAATAAGCTCGCCACACTCCACGTTCGAGCTGTGCCCCTTCCAGAAGAAGTCACGCAGATTCTGGAAGAAAATAGTGATTTGATTCGTTCTATGGAGCAGTTGACATCGTCTTTGAATGAGGGTAAAAATACTCACATGATTCACCAGAAGATCCAAGAGAAAATTTGGGAATTCAAAGGAAAACTAGAGCAGCATCTAACAGGAAGAAAGTGGAGGAACACTGTTGACCGAATCTGGTCATTTGGCCCAAGAAAATGTGGGCCAAACATATTAGTAAATAAAAGTGAAGACTTTCAGAGCTCAGTCTGGACAGGCGCAGCTGGCAAGGCTTCAAAAGAAGCCAGTAGATACCGAGATTTGGGCAATAGCATCGTGAGTGGCTTCCAGCTGGCAACGCTCTCTGGCCCCATGTGTGAGGAGCCTCTCATGGGCGTCTGTTTTGTTCTGGAAAAATGGGACCTGAGTAAATTTGAGGAACAAGGAGCAAGTGATAAGCGGACTCAAGAGCAAAGTGATCTGGAGCAAGAGGGACAGGGAGAAGGTGAAAACCAACAGCCACAAAGTGGCTGCTCGGAGCCCCTTGAGAAGAGGGCTTCCCCAAAGGGAGAGCCTGCCCTCGCTGACTGCTACGGACCCTTTTCGGGACAGCTGATCGCCACCATGAAGGAAGCATGTCGCTACGCCCTGCAGGTGAAGCCACAGCGTCTCATGGCGGCCATGTATACCTGCGACATCATGGCCACCGGTGATGTGCTCGGTAAGGAGGGAGGGGACCGGCAGTGAGACCTCGCCCCAGCAACGGAGTCCTAGGGCAAAAACTGAAACTCCTGTGGCCTTTTTTTTTTGCAGAAGCTATATCATCTAATTTACTAAGGAACTAAGATCTTTGAAAGCCCAGAGGCCTTAAGTATTAAAATCCTGAGGGGTGGGGGGCATCTGACTACTATTGATCCTGTCTTTTGCAACAAACAGACCCTTTTCTGTAAAGAAAGTTCTGCCATATGAGGTTTAAACTGTCTGCTTATGTTACCGTCCAAACCCGCACAGCATTCTTTCCTCAAGTGAGTGGGCGTATCTGTCCTTCTGAACAGGATCCAAGAGCCAGGCGACGCTCTCGTGCTCCTGACGCAAAAGGGCTTCTGGGAATTCTGGGTCCTTTCTGAAGAAGAGAATTATTTGGGGCCTTTTTCATTGCTAACCATTATATTAAATCCGACTCCCGGTTTTCCTGTCGTTGGAAGGTCCTTGGGGATCTCAGGAGAGATGGGGCGCTGGCTCTTAGTGGCTGTTTGACTTTGACAGGTGTTTACTTCCCTGAGACTTACTTTCTTCATCTATAGAAAGGAAGATGATAATTGTCTGGAGGTTGTGAAGATGAGCCTCAGAACACAATGTAGGGCCTAGAACGGTGCCTGGCGCACAATAGTTCTCACCCTCTTGAGATCATGGAACGGTTTCACTGGTGAGGGTAGAAAGGGGAATCGAGCACCGGATGAGAGTGGACCAAATTGTTAGGTTTTCTCAAGCACTCAGGTCCTTCAAGTCAGTATGTGGTTATTTTACATTTTTTTTAGTAAGGTTCTTTTGCTGATTAATTCCTAAAGCCAGAAATGTAAATTATTGTCTTTTTGTCTTACCAAAAGAAATTTAGATTTGCCTCACAGTAAGGTTTCTTGAGACTAGTTGGGCGTGCACAGCAGCATCTCAGAAACAGCTGGGTGAGAGAGCGCTCCACACTCTTGGCTACTGTGGGGCTACCTTCAGCCAGCGTGCACTGAGGGTCACGTCTGTGAGTGCATGCAGTGTTGCTCAGCCTTGTGTGAATGCAGCAGGCCTATCCACATCTCATGGAATTAATACGTTGGTTTGAGGAGCACCAGTCTAGACCGTTCCCAGAGGAGAACCTTCTCAATTCAAGGAGGCAGAGGTGGAATTACAGTCAGGGAATCTTGATTCCTTCACACCCTTGAAGACTCAGAGCTCTGCTCCGTTCTCTCCAACCCCGACGGATGCCTGCTCTGTTTGAATCCTCTGTTCACCCACAGCCAGCTCCACAGTTAGACAGCGTCTTTCCTTTGGTGAGCCAAGAGTCTAAGAGTCTTGTCGCCCACCAGTGTCCAGCCATGGTGCCACCATTCGCCCCTCTCTCATGCAGCAGCACTTTATATATTTGGGGACAGCGTTATTTTTCTAGTCTTATATCCTGGAGAAAGCGCTCCAGATTCTTCAGTTATTATTCATGATAGGACTTTTTGTGCCCTTCCCGCATTCCGGTTGCTGTCCTTTGGACGCACTTTATTTGGTCAGCCTCCCCCTTGAGTAAAGCAACGGCATTTGAACACAGCGCCTCAGATGTCCTCTGACCAGTGCAGGACGCAGACGCACTGTCACCTCCCCAACGTGGTACCACGTTCTTTAATGCAGTTTAGCCGCTGCATCTTGTCATTGACTTGTGAAAAGTCAGGATCAGCTCCATTTGTTTTTTTAAATAAGTTATGCCTTCCCCTTTTGTTTCCCAAAAAGCCAAATCCAAATTTCAGTGATTGAAATGATGTAGGCCCACCAGAACTCCTATATTTGTGTATGAGTAAACTGGACCTAAACAATTAATTTTTTCCTTAGGATATATATATTATGTAATAAACATTACGACAATAGTGAAGGAACTTTTTTGGTTTTTTTAATGCTGAGAGAAAGAAGTCCCAACACCATGATCTTAATGCATTGATTCCTTTTTTATTTTTCCTTTAAGATTTTTATTTTTCCTTTTTCTCCCCAAAGCCCCCCGGTACATAGTTGTATATTTTTAGTTGTGGGTCTTCCTAGTTGTGGCATGTGGGATGCCGCCTCAGCATGGCCTGATGAGCGGTGCCATGTCCGTGCCCAGGATTCGAACCGGTGAAACCCTGGGCCGCTGAAGTGGAGCCTGTGATCTTAACCACTCAGCCACGGGGCCGGCCCCTGATCCCTTTTTTTCATGTGAACTTTTCTTCTCTGGTCACACTCAGTAAGCAGTGAATCGCATGTTTTGATGAAGTTAAGGTCCTTTATGCGTAAAGCATTCCCAACTATCGACGTAACCAGCACGTTAGAAGAGGAAATAAGCTTAGGTGGATGGATTTTGTCTTAGAAAGTCCTTGTCATCTCCGGAGGTTTACCTCATGCTTATGTAAGTATGTACAGATCTTTGTATTGTGTTCTTAAAATTCTACAGGAAATTAGCAAGTGGCTTTCTAGTCTGCAGCTTATGGAATCCAGTGTTTTTATCCTCAAAAAATAAACTTATCATTTACCTTTTAGGTGTAGTTTGGCAGCTACCCTGCTACCCATAATTTCTCAAAAGGGCAAATTTGTTTCGGACCGTGAGATATAATTCTGGTCCTGGAGACGAGCTCCTTTAAGAAGGCCAGGTCTTTGCTCATCCGCTTCTCAGCTGTTTCGAACTCAGTGTCTGCTGTGTTTGTTCTGCCTGCTACAGTCCTTACAGAAGAGAACGCAGGTACCTGGGTGCTGAGAACCAACCCTGCTTTCCTGCTGTTCTGTTACCATTACACTGGCTTCTCACTGTAGTAGGTATGTCTCATTCTTATTCCGAAAGTAGTGGAAAAGACTCTCTTGTTGTCGTGAGCTCTGTTATGTTGGTAGACTTAGCTTCTTCTAGTTTTTAACATCCTGGACATGCTGTTGATCTACCCTTAGTTGGGGTCCCCTTCTTCCGTCTGCTGTGTGTGTCCTTTTAAAATGGGAGTTGGAAGATACAACAGAGTGCCTTCCAGGACTCAATAGATTTATTGTGAAGCTCCTGCCGTATTTTGGTGGGCGAGTGTCTCTCCTCCTTTTTTCTCTCATGGGGTTAATTCATGATTGATATTTCAGACTCCTGTTATTCCCAAAAGGAATTTTATCTTAGGGTTTGTTATCCTAAAACCGGGGTGGTTTTGTTTCTTTTCCTTTATGTATGTGAAATGATCCCTCCTGAAGTCCAGGGTCCATCTACATCTATGCCTATCCTTTCCCTCCCTTGGAGTCCCAAGGAACACATATTTCCTCCCCAAATTGCCATCTTTCCTATGTTATCCATTTGGGGTGGCATTTGTCCTTTGCTCTCTGAGAAGACAAATTTTCAGCACAACATGTGAAGCCAGGATCAGCTCTTGGTGATTATCAGACGGAAACTCCCAGCAGACTCTTGAGTCACCTTTGTTGAGTCAACCCTCTGGGCCCATTTTCTCATTTCTATTGAGAAATCACCACCTGGACCCTGCTTGTGACCAGGCAGCCCTAGGACGGTTCCTCGAAACAGCGCTTGCCATCCTGTCCTTTTGTTTTCATCCTGGCACTGTCAGACTCAGCTCTGGCGCTTTCTAGGAAGAGATGCATATCTTAACCCTCAGGGTTATTTGTCCTCTTCTCTCTTAGGAGCAAGGTATGTCTTTGCCTTGTCTTATCCAGGTACAGATCCCACTGTGCTGGGCCTCCTTGACCCCTGGGGGTGGCAGCTGTGTGCATGTGGATCGTTACTGTGCAGTCTCTGTGCCATTGTCGCTGGGCAGCCATCTTAACCCGTTTCTCAGAGACCATGCAGTGATTGTGTGATGGCTGCCACAACCACTGCCTTACAGAGGGCCTATGTTTAGATTTGGTCTAGGATTCTGTTTTCCTGAATTGGTTTGAAGCCCTCTTGCTTAGCTTGGAAAATCTCCTCCCTGAGCTCGTTCTCATTGCTTTGAGGGGCTCTGGTGATGACAGCCAATTTCTAGTGCCCAGGATCCGTCAGGGTGGAAGCTGGTTGCTTCTCGTGTTTTCCTCTTTCTTTCTAAATCACCACTTTTAACTGAAAGAAGTGAAGAGACCTTTATATCTCCAAGGCCTTTTGCTTCCTGCTTGGGTGGCGATCTTCCAAGAAGACTTCAGACTCTGCTGATAGTTACTTTAATTCTCCAAGAGCCGGCACAAGACAAGTGAAAAGACAAGTTCTTTTTTATTTAGCAAAAGTGAATTCCCTTAGTCTCTTTTTAAAACTTAGTTCTTTTTACACAGATTGTTACAAGAAATCATTATATATATGGATAGAATTGCTTATGGTCAAAATGGGAAATTTTGTAGAAAAATACTCCTCTCAAAATCATTTTATCTGGGGAAATAATCCCCAAAAAATGACGCTCTTTACTTGTAATATCGACTTTCCAAAGGTGTGGTTCTATCATTATTTTTTACCCGTGATAAGTGCCTTAAATGGACATCAGAATTGGTTTGTGTTTTTAATTCATTGTCATGTGACTGGTAGATGGTCTCTTTTAATATTTCTTCTTCTAACCTATTAACTCTTTTTATTCTTGCTCGTCATTGTTCTTGTCTCTGGGAATAACTTCACATATAAAAATCTTTTTCTGTTTGACAGTATTAGGCAGAGTTTTAATCACAGCTCCTCTTACTGTAGTTCTTCTGTTTTTATATACAGGAGTAAATGCTTGCATTGTTAGAATGTGTGTGCCTTAATGCATCAGAAACATTCTTAAATAGGTTTCGTTGTTTCCTTTTAAGAACCTTTTCTTATTCTACACTTGGGGTTCTTTTTACATTTCATCAGCATTTCATAATTCAATTTAACAGAAATGTATTAAGTGGTATATGCCACACCATGCTCATTGTGATTCCTTCTTGAGAGATGAGTTAAGGTGACAAAGCTTAATTGTGTAAAACAATTAGAAAGTAAAATACAGTTGAATTTAGTGAATAAACATGGTTTTCCAGTGAAATTTTATAAGAAATTTGGATTAGCAAAATTTGAAACAGGGTGGGTCTTTTGAAAGTGATAGTACTTTGAAATGGGCTTTAATGGAATAATTTTGAGTTCAGCAACTAAGTGTTACATTGGCTTTTTCTGTCCCACACGCTGGAGGCTGCTTTGAGCTCCAAGGAGACTCATTCATAGTTTGCTTTAGAGGAACTTCTGTCGGCATTCTCTCTCTAATCCTGGACACCTGGTTGGTTGAACCCAACTGTAAAACCTTGTGTTTACTGTGCTAGCTTGTGTCTTGTTAAATTTGGGTCCTTACCTAGTTATCCTTGTTCCATCAAAGTATTTATTACTCAGCTGGCTGCACGTGACTGAGGTGTGATGGTGGAACAGACGCCGGTTGAGGGGTACCCAGCATTCACAGTCAGAGGCCACGGAGCAGAAGTGCTGGTTGACGGGGCACACCGATTTCTCAGGGAACAGCAGCAGGTTGAGGGTCTCCGAACGCATCCCAGTGCTGGGAGCGCCTGTCGGGAGAGCCCAGCGCATTTGGAAGGTCGTATTGTAGCTGTTTTCCTTTGTTCGGTGATCCATCACTGTGCCCCAGTTTTAGGATTTAGTTTTAGTGGAATTAAAATTGAATGGCTTAAAAGTTGCATGATTAATTACATTCAGTTTCGGTTACAGTTATTGATCCAAGCCTGCTGGCGGGAAGGAGGTGGTGGAGCTGCTGGCCTCACCCCAGGGCCGTCGGCGGCTGGCCTCTGGCCCCTCAGTCGTGTGCCTCCGTTTACTCGTTCCTCCTGCTGCCCCACCCCGTTGTTGGTATTGACTTCCATAAACCACCTTAAAACTTTTCCTAGAGTAAGGTAGCAGAGTAGATAAAGATTGCTGGTGTCAGCTTTTAGAGTGTTTTTCCCCTCGTATAAATCTCAGGCAAATAATCTATAGCCTAAAGGAGATCATTCATAAAGATAATAATTGTTCTGCTTTTCAGACTGTGCCTACAGTATTGTTTTCAGTTCTGGGTACCACATTCCAAGACGGATGTAAGGAAATCATAGCAGTTCAGATAGGAAAGTTGTCAGGATGGAACAGGAAAGAAAGGTCGTGTCCTAGAAAGATTGGAGGTATTTAGATGGGAGCAGAGAAGGCTGCACAGCTGTCTTTGAATAGCCTAAAGGCTGATCTGTGGAAGAGGGACTAACCTTGTCCCATGTGACAAAAACTAGAACCAACGGTTAGAAACTTCAGGGGAGCAGATAAGGGGCTCAGGAATTATCTGCCAGTTAGGGTGTTCCAGAAGTGGGATGGGCTGCCCTGGGAGGAAGTGAGTTTTGAAGTCTGCAGGAGAGTTTAAATGTGTACTCTGGCAGAGCTTGTTCACCCTCAAGTCCCCTTCTAACCCACTGTTCTGTGACTGAACAGAATGAGCGACAGGGGAAATGACCGTTCAGAACTGGGAGAGTGGAGCTGCTTTTGCCGTAGGTAATGTGCTTTATCTTAGCCATGTTGGGTTTGGAAGGGAGTCAGGCTCCACGGTGCAGCCTCCCTGGCAGGCATCCTCCAGGGATTGGAGGTCGAGTGAGGGGCCTGGCTTAGAAATAGAGTCTCAGCAGCTGCAGGCATGAAATCAATCGTTCAGTCCACAGACCTGAGAAAGGAGTTGGCTCTCTGCACGAAGAGTCTGTTCAGAGAAGGGTGTGGAGCCTCAAAGACTGCTCTTAGGAAGACATTATCCCTTTAATAGTTACTGAAGTAAACGGTGCAAGGATGGTCAGGGGGCCGGGGGTCCGAGGAGGGTAACGCTAAGATTGGGGAGCTGTCAGAGGAGCTGTTGATCAGCAGCTTCAGAAACCACAGAGCGATGGTGGAGAACGAATACCGAGAAAAGGCATTTGCGATACGAAAATTACCATGAAGTTCAAGGAAACAGGTTTAATGGAGCGCAGGGCAACCCATGGAGCCTGGGAGTTGAGAAAGAGCACACAGCGAGGCGGCGAGAAGCTGCCCCATGGGAGATGTGGGGAGAAAGTGGCGGCCAGCGAGGGCAGAGACAGTAACTTGGTGCCTCTCAGCTCTCGCGGAATTTGTAGTTTGTTTTTCAGCTGAACGGGGAGCAGAGGGAGGGAGGCCCGCCAGAGTTTTTAGGGTTTTTTCCTAAGACCCTGAGACACATGTGCTTCCTGCCGTTTGCTTACCTTTATCCTTCTTAATCACCACCGCCAGGGGGACATCTGAGTCAGAGAGAAAGGCTGGAAGTCAGACAGTTTTGCGCTGTGTCCTCAGTTCCTAGTTTAAAAAATAAACAAGCAAAGGTGGTGCAGGCACGACAGGTCATCACCCTTTTGCTTAGGAGGAGAGCCCAGGACTCAGTGGGGAGACTTACCCCTCACGGCAGTGCTTCAGCTTCCAAGGGTGAGGTGTTCCCAGGTCACTTAGGTGACTAGAGCATTGCTCTGAGTGGTGGGGAAGGCGCTTCAGTGTGCATGTCTGCCACCCGCAGCGAGTTCCTCACAGCTGTCTGTGCGTTTCAGTCCATCTGCTCTTGCAGAGTCCGTTGTGCTTACTGGTTGGGAGGAAGCTTTGAGTACCCGGAGGCGCCACCCAGAGCCAGTAGGGGGCCATCTCCCTCCTGGGTGTGAGCAGAATTGTGCCGAAAGGCGAAGTGCAAGTGTTAGCCCAGAGAATTTGTTCAAATCCTTGTGGCGTGGCAATAGAGACTGTTCGCAGACACTGAAGGTCCCAAGACGGTCACTTTTCAGGGGAATAAAACTCTCACGCTTGTGCCACTTAAATATCGTCAGTTAGAAAATATGAGCAAGCATTTATATGTGTGGTTTTAATTTTTAGTATAAAAATGTCATTGTGCCAGTTGTTTGCTTACTAGACCCAAATAGCCTATGTCATCATCATAATTATCATCGCCACATTAGTAATGTCTCATAATTATTACAATTATAATATTTATGGAGCTCAGTCACACTCCTCTCATTGGATTTCATACCCAAAGACAGCTCATGGATAAAACTGCCTCAAAGCGTCCTTTTAAAAGTCTCCGGCTTCTCCTGCTGTGTTGAAGGGCTTGCCTTTGGGGGAGGCAGTTTGAGGGGATTGCACATTTTATCTCTAATTTTTCTATAACTGTCATGCTTTACTTTTCAAGTAAACTCTTTAAGAAAAAGTCTCCATGCTTTTGTAAACCAGAATCATTGGTAACAGAGTTGCTCGTGAGTGGATCGTGACAGAGTGCGTGAGTAGTCGCATCTTCATGTGGCTGGAGACACATGACGGGTCAGGAAATTTACAGGCTCTGTGGCTTTGCAGGTCGGGTCTACGCCGTGTTGTCGAAGAGGGAAGGTCGGGTACTTCAGGAGGAGATGAAGGAGGGGACGGACGTGTTCACCATCAAGGCGGTGCTGCCGGTGGCTGAGAGCTTCGGCTTTGCGGATGAGATCAGGAAGAGGACGAGCGGCCTGGCCAGCCCGCAGCTGGTGTTCAGCCACTGGGAGGTAAGAGCCCACGGCCTGTCCTCCGTTCTCGCTGCGGGTGTGCTTCTAGCGGTGACGCCGGGGGAGCAGGCCGCCTTACGTGCCATCAGCATTCTGCATCTGCGCCCGCCAGGCAGAGGCTTCTCGTCCAGGTTGCGTGATCCTGAGACCGGATGTGATTTGTAACACACACGTGTGCCTTCCTTCTCTGTGTTAAGACACAATGTGTCATCCTTTTTTCCACTCTAAGGGTATATTTTAGATTTTTAAAAGAAAACCACACATTTCGAAAGTGAAACTTTAAGGAACTTTTCTATTGGGGGAAAAATATTTCCAGTATTTAGAAGGGGACGGTTATGTTTTGCATATTCTCCGGTCCCCGCTATGGAGACGCCAGGTTTCCACGGCCTTCAGGTGTGGGGTGAAGCGGCTCATGGAAGCCCTTTGTTGTCGGTGTCGGCAAAGGTGGTGAGAAGGCAGCCTCGTCAGTAATCAGAAACGAAGACTGAAAGATCTGCGTGGCTGGGAGAGAAGAAAAGAAGTGAACACGTTTTTTAACTGAGAGGGGAAAGTAACAACAAGAGGGGCCGCCCTCCTGAACAGCATTCATGACGGGGTAGACGCTGGCCCTCCAGAGAGAGGAGAGGCCGCGAGGGACGTGGAGGGCACGTGCGAGAGGCAGTTTGCGATGCTTCCAGTCGAAACCTGTCATCAGGGACGGTCGGTGTGAGTAGAAAGGTCGTTTTAGGATCACAGCTTCTGCCGTCTGCGCTTACAGGGACTCTAATGACTTCCCCTTGTCCGCTTTTGCCATGGAGGTTTGCGGTTTAGCGGGAGGAGCGCTGACTTTGGGGTTGGAGGGTCCTGGTGTGGAATTCTAACTCTGCACCTGCTGTGGACAAACTGGGACTTCGCTGAGTTTGCTGCACTGTGAGACGGCGTGGGGAGTGTCCAGCCTGGCGCCCAGCACTGGTGGCCCCAGAGTGAAGCTGGTTCCCTTGTGTCATTCTCGGAGTCTCCGCCACGCTCGCTTGGCCTGCCCTCGGCATGTGGCACTGCACTGGGCTTCACGCCGGTGGTCCAGGGTTTTCCCCTAAACCCGTGGTTAAGGTTCAGTGCTAAGCTGTTGTTATTTCTCTCACTTCCTTTAGCCAGATGAGTCCCTTTCTCTAGAATACTCCAAATGAATAGTTTAAATTTAGACAATAAGGGAGAATGGGAATAATTGAGGAGAACTTTCTTTTTAAAATGAATTTTATAGTCAAGTGAATCGGCAAAGTAAAGAAAGGTGACATTTCAGGAAAATTGACTTGGGGCAGGGCAAATTTAATTTTTTTTTTTTTTTTAAAGATTTTATTTTTTCCTTTTTCTCCCCAAAGCCCCCCCTGTACATAGTTGTGTATTCTTCGTTGTGGGTCCTTCTAGTTGTGGCATGTGGGACGCCGCCTCAGCGTGGTCTGATGAGCAGTGCCATGTCCGCGCCCAGGATTCGGCCTAACGAAACACTGGGCCGCCTGTAGCGGAGCGCGCGAACTTAACCACTCGGCCATGGGGCCAGCCCCAGGGCAAATTTAATTTTAACGTGCAAGTTCATGTCTGAATTGATACAAGTGAAGTTGCTAGTCCGAAACACTCAGTTGTATCTCCTTCTTCTTAAAAAAAAAGTCACGTTCTTAATGCTTGATCTAGCCAAAGTCAGTGTTCCAATTTAGGCTACCTTTTTTTGTCAGTACAAACTACGATTTAACAGTGATTTACTGTGAAGTTTTTCTTGTGTTTTGTATCTTTGTCTAGAAACCAAATGATGTTTTGATGGTTTTACTGGCTTATATCTGATTGGTATCGTTACTGTATTTCATTATGTGGAAAACAGTAGCTCCAGACATTTAAATTATTCGTTAATCCCCAAGCTCATGGGTAGTAATCTCTCACTTATCCAAACTTCTGGCTTTTTAGTTTTGGGTTTTTGGCACTCAACTGTCACGTAAGAACACAAACCAGTAAGAAATAGAAGGATGGGATTTATAGAGGCAGCTCCTGAATAATAACAACAGTGTCTGTCGTGTAAATACGTTACCGATGTTCCTAATGAGAAACACCACTGGCGTCCTCTGCCCTGGGTTTCAGTGACCGACGTGGTTCCAGGGCAGTGTGGCTAAGTGACATTTAGAACCGCAGGGAGATGTGTTCCACTTCAAAGTGATGACCTGGAGAGGAGAAAGTGATGACCTGGAGAGGAGGACGCGTTCCTCCTCAGTACTGCTGTTCCGTGAAGCTCCTTCAGAGCTTGCAGCTTGTGCTTCTGCACGTCTGAGAGATGGCACGTCGTCCATCTCGGGAAGACGGCCTTGATCAGCGCTGGTGCAAAAACTGGGTTACAGTGTCTGGTCAGAGCAAAGGGGGTGTAGGTGAATGAGCCCTGGCATTCTCTGGGATCCAGATCTGGAGGAGCTGTTAGCAGCTGTTGTGATGGTGTTGTTATTGGAAAACTTATATCTCCTGTTGTTTGTTAAAAATACCTCATCATTTTAAAGTCAGTCTTATTCTTGAAAGTGATTTTATAAAGCACACTTTAGAAAATCTATAAAGTTCTGATCATTTCCTAATTGGCAAATATATTGGTTAGGAAACATGTAAGACTCCTCCATGGAAGGGATCTCAAAATAGAGCAGCTCACGTAAGGCAGAAGGCTCTCGAGGCTGTGGAGGTGGCCCAGGGCTGCTGTGGCTCGCTGTGGTGGGGCCCAGGCTCCTTCTGGTTTGCTGCCTTTGTCAACAGTTGGCTTCTACTGATGGTCCAAAGTGGCCGTTCACCTCCCACCATCACGTCTGTGTTCCAGCCAGTAAGAACGGGGAATGGGAAGAGCAGGGCATAGTCCTTCCCTTTAAGGACATGAACTGGGTGTCGAAGAAGTCACTTCACCTGGTCCTGTTGCCCCACGTCTAAGATGGCCCCACCTCACAAGGAGGCAGGAAGTGTAGCCTTGACTGGATCAGAGGTCGGCAGACTGTGGCCTGTTTCCTGTTTATCTTGATAAATAAAATGTACCGGGATGTGGCCACACCCACTCATTTACATATTTTCTGTGGCCAGTTTCAAGCAGAATTGAGTAGTTGTGACAGAGACCTATGGCCCGCACACTAAAATGTCTACTATCCGGCTCTCTAGACAAGTGTGCTTTGCTCCCCGGGACCCAGGTGGCCTGTGTGCCCGCCTGAAACACCTGTCACCAAAGACAGGGGAGGATGGGTGTTTAGGAACAACTAGGATAAAAACAGCACGTTTTTACCAAATAGGCAGTTTCTGTTAATGTGAAAATTTTCAGTCTCTTTTCTCTCTCAAAATTAAACCAAAAGAAGCGAAAATTAATCCTACATACTTAGTAGTTTTAAAAAGGTTAGTTTCTGGCCTGGTTATAGCTTGTTATTAAAAATGTCTCTTCATAAATAACTTCAGAGAAAAATCTAGTCATGTAAAGTTTGCTGCCGTCCTCCTGTCATCCCTTGGCCACCTGTCGTGGTGCTGTTCCCCAAAGCTTCAGGTTTTTGAAAGTCTTGAAAACTCCTTTATCCTTAAATGTCATTGACCTGACGTTCTTGGCCATCTCGGTTCCCCCATAGTTAGGGTAGAAATAACACGGCTGAGACCTGGCTCTCCCTCCACGGTGCTTTTCTCATTGGTATTCTGCCACATCACGTCATTTACCAAGAGCTTCTGAGAGAAGCTCCTTCAAAAAATAGAGAAAATAAACTTAGAGTCGTTTTCCATGAGGAAACCTTTGAAGTCAGCAATCTCCTAATTTCTCTTTCAATGTTTTACCTTCTATAAAAAGGAAGAAAAGGAGCTGATAAGAGGCACAGAAAGAAAGATATTACCACCCGGTGCTGTTCGGCATGGGTGCCAGTGTAACCTGGAGGTTCACCGGTTACTGTCGAGACCCCCCACCGCGGCTGGGCTGCAGGTCGCATAGGCTGCAGGAGCGCCCAGGAAGGCTGTTCTGGACCTGGTGTTTCTTACCTGCCAGCCGGAGTCATAGTGAAAACTGGGCAAAACATTGAAATGTAGCTCCCACAGCTTTCTCCTTCTAGACATTTTTTTTTTTAACGCCCAGGCCAACAGCCAGCGCTGTGCCTTCCTGAGTTAGAAAGTGCCACCTCTCCAGCTGTGGGGTTGCATACACCCCTCCACGGTGGGCACGTGGATCCTGAGTGAGCCGGCCAGAGAAAAGTGCCTTTTCCTCCAGGCTGCTAGCACGCCCTGCTCCGTGGCCCCCAGGGCCCTTTCTGCAGAGCACAACCTGGATGCCCTTGGGGGTCGCCGCCTCGTTGCCCCACTAAGGAAAGTCAAAATGAGCCTACCCGGGCAGACGTGGCTCCCTCCGCTCTGTTCTGAGACTTGGTTGGGTGTGTTGAGGAAGAGGCTTCAAGACGTCTGCACAGAGGCCAGCATGGGGAGGGGCCGCAACACAGCACCCGTGGCTGAGGCAGAGGAAGCCCACAGGGTGGGGGGCAGGAACGAGTCCCCTGAGGGCTTCGCTGGGCAGACGGAGGTGAGGGCAGAGTCCTGGCGCTCAGGAAGCACACTGAGCAAGCCTCAGTCGTGTGTGCTGAGGCTCAGGCAGAGCTGGACCGTTTTGAAACACCTGGGTCTTATATTTTTGAAACAAGGACCCTGGTCTTAGATTAGCCAGTCTGGGTCTGTCGGCTTGCACCTCCTTTATTTCTCTTTAAAAATCTTGTCACTTTCTGAACAGATTAAAAATTTATTCACCACAACTCAGACCTGCTCAGAACATGGAGCTTCTTAATATTCTATGATGGCTCATCGTCCAGCTGGTTGGGGAGGGCACCAGTAACCAGCTTACAACTCGTGACGTCATGGTCTCTGTCAGGGTGGTCTTTGTGGATGATGGCCCAGGGAAGTGTTCTGTTCTGGCTGTCTCCCTTACCCTCTCTGAGAAGGATGGGCCTTCTGTGACTGCATGGTGGGGAGGGGAGAAGGGCCCTCTGCATCGTCACTGGTCTTTGCCACGTGAAGCACCTTGTCTGGTCCAGTCCTCTCGGACCCTTAGGGCTGGTTTGGTGGCCCAGCCAATTTCAGGAGTCTCTCATGTTGGTCATTTGTCTCCAGCAGAGAATCCCGACCCACGACTGCCTGCATCCTGCCCCTGCGTCTGCAGCCCCTCTGCACCCCCAGTGCACTCACCAGTGTGTGCGGACTTCTGGGCCAGCAGCACCTCTTACTGCTCAGGCGCCTTGTCAGCCTTTCTCGGAGGTGTGCAGTCTCCCCATCTGCTTGTGCAGGGGCTCAAATGTGCAGGACGGGGAGGAAACGCCCATCTTCTTAAGAAGCTCAGCCTTCTGTAGTCAAGGCAGGTGTGCAGGGGTCCACGTCAACACGTGCTTTCCAAGTACAGGCTGAGGGCGCCACCCGCATGGAAAGACAGTCGTTTGTATCTCCCTGAAGCAGAGCCACAGCGGAGGGTCATGGTGGGAGGAGAGGAGACTTAGGAGCCTGGCGCGGTGTCCACAGGGTCCTTGCCTCACGGGGCAGGCTGCACCACCTGCCCGCTGGGCTTCCTCAGCAAGTTTGCTGCCAGCCCTGGGCTTGGGCTGCAGGTGAGATGGTGGCGTGTGGACGCTCAGGACGATCCTTGTGTTGGGGCAGCCTCGGTCAGCCTGCTTTATCGTAGAGGACAGAGACTCAGCGAGCTTATGTCACTTGCTCAAGGCCGCAGAACCAGTTAGTGACCGGGCCAGATGCTCAGTGGAATCCAGACAGGAAGCGCCCATGTGTATGTCCCTGGCGTGGTGGGCCAGGTGTCCTTCCTGCTCAGAGAGACATGGACCTCAGGAGGCGTCCTTAGTTGATGATCTTTGCTCCCTTGTCCTGCTCCCTTCTGACTCCCCCTGCTATCTGCTGGCTCATGTCTAAGTGCCATTTCTTGTATTCTCCTCTGGAAATGAGCCTTTTGCTGCTGGCCCCTTGGGGACTTTGCTAGTCACTCTGTAACCTATACCCTGATGGCACTTGGTTCCTCATCTGCAGCATCGTCCTCCTTCGCTCTGAGGGCACCTGTGTGTGGTTGTGGCATGGGGGGAGGGGCGGGCAGGGTCCCCAGAGGCAACAGGACACCGAGGGGTCCAAGTGCTGGCGCAGAATGCACACAGCTCTTGGTGGAGCCGCTGCTCCCGTTGCTCCAGCCTGACGGTTTCCTCACGGCCCTGGGGACACGGCCCAGCTTCTGGGCCTCCCTTTCCCTTACATCCAAGTGTGCTTGCCCGTGGCGCTGTCCTGATCCCTGACCAGCAGCGTGGGGAGGGCGGTGATGTGCTTGCTGCCCTCCAAGTGCGCTGCCTGAGTCGGCGGTCTTGCTGAACCCTTGCGCAGTCCATGCGGTTGGGCTTCTGTGCCGCGTCCCTGCGGGTGGGGCGGAGGCGCTGGCTGGTGTGAGCTGGCTTGCCCAGACCACGCGGTGGGGTGTGCGGGAATCCACGGGGCACCCACCCGCCTGGCTAGTCCAGAGCTGCCCTGGCCTGGACTCATGGACCTTGCTCCTCTCATTCCTTTGGCTCCTCCTTGTTTTGTGGCGTGAGGAACAGGCACACCCCCTCCCCCCTCCCCCCCACCACCGCCAGCAGAGCCGAGTGGGCTGCTCCTGGGCAGCTCCTGCGCTTGGCCTCTTACAGAGACTGAGAATTTCACTTCTTCCTTCTTCGGGATCATCATCTCTTTGCTAAGGGTGTTCCATTGTTGAGGGGCTGTGCCAGCAGCCCCTGCTCAGAGGCCTTCTCTATTCTTGGCAATGGTTGAACTGGGTGAGGAATTGTTGGTTCTCCCTGAGGCCCCTGGCACCGAAAGCACCAAGCTGTGTTCCGGCGTTTGTTGCTGCTGCTTCAAAGCCTGTCACCGTCCCATGCAGGTTTTCTGGGGGCAGCCGGCTTGTCTGTCGTCTCTGCCTGCCTCGGCGCAGGGACGGGGCTGCTGCTTTGTTTCCAGCCTCTGTTCGGGGCCAGCGCCATCCTGGCCTGCACCTCCCATCCTGGAGCCTCAGCTCAGGCCATCCAGGTGTGTGGCACAGCGTGGTGGTTCTGCCATTTTCCTCAGGGCCCCGCAAGAGGGTCACTCTGAAGACTCGTTCCTCCTGCCCTCTGGCCTCTGACTCTGAGACGTGTCCTGCACCTGTCTTATGGCTCTTAACTTTCCTTTCATATTTTTTTTTATCTCTATCTCTTTATTATATTCTGGAAAGTTACCCCATCTGTTTTAAAAAATAATTTATTGAGGTGAAATTCACATAATATAAAATGTACTGTTTTAAAGTGAACAATTTTGTTGCATTTAGTATATTCACAATATTATGCATCCACCACTTCTGTCTAGTTCCAAAACGTTGCCATCACCCCAGAGTAAAAGTGTATTAGTGTCCTCCAGAGAAACAACCAGCGGAACGTACAGAAAGAAACTTGTGGGAAATGACTCACGAGGCTGTGGAGGCTGCCAAGTCCCAAGGTGGACGCTGGCAAGCTGGGGGCCCAGGGGAGGCCGTGCCGTGGCTTCCAGTCCGAGGGCAGGAGGGGACCAGCTTCCCTAGGTGCCATCAGGTGGGCGAAGCTCCCTTGCTCGGCCCTGCTCTTCTGTTCAGATGTCCAGGTGAGGACGGCACGGCTTCTCCTTCGTGGTCTGTGACTCACTGGCAGATACATGTCTTCCCGCTCCAGAGAAGAGCCGGGTGGTCCTGGTGCCCACCTGCCCGGAGTGTGTGTTGGGCCCATCTGAAGTGGCGTTGAGATCCCGGCCTCCCAGCTCACGTCTGTCGTGGCTCCTGTGGATGCAGACGGGGCCTGTGCCCTGTTTACTGCTGTGGGCTCCTCTCTCTCCAAAAACCGTTCCCTTCCCAGTCCACAGAAATTCCTTTTCTTGTGTTGAAAAGTGACTATTTTAAAATATATTTTTCTTTCATTTCTGTATTTTAAATGGAAAGTGTTGGGATTTGAGGCCACTCAATAAATACCAGGCCTTTCTGCCCAATTAAGAAATAAGAAACAACAACAGCAAGAGTAAGCATATAGAGGTCAGACTCTCACCTCTGTCACTAACAAAGCTGAATCTTGAAGCATGTGGTCCTGGTCCACAGGCATCACTGGGTTCCGAGCACCCCCTCCAGAGCCCGGGGCAGGGCAGGCCGGGCTCCTGCTGCAGGTCAGCTCTGGAAACAGCTGGAGGAACAGGGCTGGTTGTGTTTCCTGTGGGCAGCTTGCTTCCTGTGGGAGGGGAAAAGAAGAGGCCGGGCTCCCCACATTGGCTTCTCCTCTCAGTTGCCAGGCAGACTCATGGGGAGCGAGGGGCGAGGGCACAGAGGCAGGACTGTCAGGCTCAGGAGCTCTGTCTACACGAGGGGCCCGTCAGGCGGAGGGGACCACCTAGAGCAGAGGCACAGCCCTCCATCCTGTTCTGGAGGGCAGCCCCTTGTGCGTGGGCCCGAGGAAAGTCCGTGTCAAGGTCCTGCCTCCTGAGACATCGCGACTTGGCTGCAGAGGACCTGAGCCCCTTCCTCAGCTGCTTCCCTGCCCCTCAAGGAGGAGCCTCAGAGAGAAATGTCCTCCAGGGCATCCCCTGGGCTCGGCCTCCTCACCATCAGAGTAGTAAGTAGGCGTAGGCCAGAGAAAAGAGGAGAGGCTGCTTATATCTGCCTCTGGCTGGAGAAGTCTGGTCCTCCAGGTCCAGCTCCCCAAGATACCCATTGACGTCCAGAGCAAAAGCTCAGTCACCAACATGTGCTTACATGTGGACAAAGGCAAGATGAATGAAAAGACGCCAACCCCCACATCTGTCCCAGCGGGAGAGAGATGTCCTTTATTCAAAATTAATGGTTTCCTTTATTCCTTCGTGTTTTGCAGTGACTCTGAGCAAAGAATAATATGTGAGTTTTGTTGACTCGACTTCCCTTTGTTCACCCCTCCCACGAGTCTTCTGTTTATACCAAACTTGACTGTTCGTTGCTTAACTTTTTTTCTTTAAGACTGTGTGAATTGAGGTTTGAAATGAAAGGATATTTGCCTAATCTAGCACATTCTGTCCCTTTTTTTGACAAGGTCATTCCCAGCGACCCCTTCTGGGTGCCGACCACTGAGGAGGAATACTTGCACTTTGGGGAGAAGGCTGACTCGGAGAACCAGGCCCGGAAGTACATGAATTCTGTGCGGAAGCGGAAGGGGCTTCATGTGGAAGAAAAGATTGTGGAGCACGCAGAAAAGCAGAGGACCCTCGGCAGAAACAAGTAGCTGTCACCCCTGGAGGGTCCTTCTCTTTCCAATAAATTAAAAAATGTCGCCCAGGTTTGACACTGGGACGATTTCTTTACACTGCGTTATCTCTGCGTTCACTTTCAGTAAAGTTGGTCCACGTAAATATGTAAGGAGGGTATTAGAAAACACATTTCCAGAGTGTTTTTAGTTGATGCTGGTTCAAGGCAAGAAGTCATTATAAACGCTGCAGTGCGACACACTGCTCCCCTGTGTGTAACCCCCGGTGGTCAGATGTGGGCCGTGGTGCCGGCGGCCTGTTCAGTGCTGGGGGCTCCATGTGCAGACCCGACATGGGGCTGCGGCCCCTGCACTGAGTGGCCGCGCCTGTGCCTGTCACCACAGTATCACGCTGGGATTACAGCCTCCACTTGCACATGTTTCGTGTTGAATCAGTGAATGACAGCGGTTAACACCGTGTTGGAGAGACCATGTGCTTGAGACCCGCTGCCTTTTCATTAGTAAAACCAAGCTGCTCTTATAGCTCATTCGTCTAGTGGTTTATTTGTTCAGCAAAACAATGAATGTTCGGTTGTTGGCCTTTAAACTTTGTGTTTTTACACTCGTAAATTGCATCACTCACATTTAGATAAATGTTAAAATGATGATCTAAACCTTTTTCTTTTTTTAAAAAAAAAAGGTAAATTTGTAGTTTTCTTGGCTGCTTCCTCTTAGCCTTACTGAAGGGATAGTAACTAATGTGCTTGAGATTACTGCCCTTACTGTGAAGATTTTTCTGAAGCTGCCTCATTGGCCTCATTTGGGGAGATCCCCACGTAAGGAACAAATGCAATTCAGTCAAAACTAGATTTTGTAATTTTTGATGTTGTGCTAGTAATTTTTATAGCCACTTAAAAGACGGATTCTTTTCAAAACACGTAAAATTATCAGACCAGACTTTGTTTTTGACATGCTTTTAATGGGTTTTTTCAATAAACTAGGTCATTGTTAATACTAGTTGTAGGCATTTTATCTTTAATCTTTAAGGCCCTGGTCAAGTGTAGTTGACCCAGACTTTGGGAAAGTGTGGACAGATGACTCACTGTCTAAGTTTAGCAGACACTGATAGCTGGATTAATTTAGAGGAGTGATGTTCATAGTGATTTATCTGGAATCTTTGATAACATGGGAAAAGCTAGCACATGGATTTATAGCATTTGTAAGTAACATTGTTCCAACTGCCAGATGTGCTGTAAAAAGTGCTGTTAGACTGCGCTGTATCACAAAGGCTGCATTTGGTCGAGAAAGGGCTTCAGCCCCCGAGTGCTGGGGCTCCCTCACCATCGTCCTGGCTGCAGCTGTGCCGGTGTGGGAGGACTCACCAGGGTGACAGATCACCTCTCTTCCTTCTTCCTGTTGGGGGAGAGAACAGTGAGCGGTGAAGTGACTAGGACAGCCCGGCCAAGGGTATGGCCAGTCTCCATGTGAGCGGTCTCCCTTATTGGGCAATTCTTGCCGGGACCCCAGCCGCTGATTCCCTGCCTGCTTGCCGCAGCCTTTGAGACTGTGTCTGCACTGCCTGCTCAGGGCCGCCCAGCCCCAGCCTCACGTGTTGAGTTCAGTGGAAGTGAACCAAGAAGTCGTCAGTCCCAAAGTGGAAGTGGGGTTGTTCGGTGGGGTTGGCTTCTTGCAGTCCTTTATGGACAGGCCTCAGGAGCAGTGAGGAAGGCTGGGTTGAGGAAGCGCCAAAACCAGGACCCTCACACTCTGGAGGACTCTTTGCGTTGAGGTCCAGAGGGGGCTGTCCTGCTCAGGGGACGGGCACAGGCGAAGTCAACATAATGCCTTTTCTCAGCCAACCCTGGGGCAGAGGTGGGCCAGGGCAGGGGAGGCTGGAAGGGGTCTGCTTCCTGGGTCACTTTCCATGGACTTGAGGGGAAATACCCATCTCCTGTTTTGACCCTGGGCATATCCAACAGGAATGTAGGGCCTGATGAGAGTGGAGTTCAGCCCATGGTCCATTTCTCGTCCGCTTGCGCTCTTGGTGAGCCCTGCTCCCAGGGCATCACAGGGCTCTGGGACTGCCACCCACCTGGTGTCGGGACGAGATGTCTGAGTAGAGGTCGGATCCTCAGCCCTCGGGGCAGCTGGTGTTTCTGTTCTGTGCCTCGAACTTGGGTAATGCCCTCCGTGTCCCGGGTTCGGAATCATCATCTGTACTGGTTCACATTTATGGCTGGAAGGTTTAGAAAAATAGTTGATTTCAGAAATTGGGTTAAACCTGTGTACTTGACTGAGAACAGGGAACTGGGTGTGAAATGCCCCTTCTCTCCTGTCTTCCAACAGCCGTGAGGCTCGGGAGGCAGAGCCTTCCAGACGAATAGGTCATTACATCTGGGAGTTAGAAGGTGTTCCCTTGTGAAGTCACAGTCATCTTTTCTTTTGAAACTTTCTCAGCTAGAAAAAATTTGATAAAATTAATAATAAAAGCCAAGGATTTAGATCAGACTCTAAAAATAGAAGATTATGAATGTCAATCCAACCAAGCAAAGGAAGTGCTGAGCCTGCCTTTGAGTGTTGTGCTCTGTAGACGGAGCCTGCAGCTGAGAAAGTGTCTTCTGGGGACTTTGCAACCAGGAGTGAGAGGGTTTCTAACCCTGTTGAGACGGGGCCAGCCTAGCGAGCCAGGGCATCTGCACGGCCCCCTGCGTAACAAGGTTGGCCCTAACCAAGTGGCAGGCTGGGAGAATCAGGCCACCAAGATGCACGTTCCACAGCCTCTGGATGCTCCCGGGCTCACGCATGCGCCAAGCCCCCAGGAAGCCACAGAAGGTGACCCTGGCCCCATCAGCGTAGTAAGATCACACCCAGGGCGGAGAGTTAGCATGCGCATGACCCACGCGTCGTGTGTAGTAACTGCTACGTGACAGCGGAGCCACAAGCACAGCCCCCTCTACCTGCCGCGACAAGGCGCTCCTCCCAGCCTTTGCCTAATAAATGCCCACAGTCCCGCTCCCTAACGAGCCGGCCACCTGCCTTTCCTTTCCCAGCGGCTCCCTTGTGCCTTTCCTGTGCATGAGCTGATGAACTTTTGCTTCTCTACTCTTGTTGTTGTGTCTTTTGGTTTCCATCCTGGGGACAACGAGAACCATGTGCCCATAACACCGTGGTGCACCTGCCCCGAGGCCCAGAGCAGAGCTGCGTGTGGCAGACCCAGGGAGGCAGACAGCTCTCACCAGAGAAGGAGGCGGAGCAGAAGTGAGGGTTCCCTAGAGTGGCCGACAGAAAGGGGCCAGCACCCTCCTGGCTGGACATGCCTGGCCTGGGCTGGAGACTGGAGGCTTGATCTCGAGCGGTAGGAAGCTCCCCTCCTCTGGGCCTTCTTGGCGTTACTGAGGAAAGCCCAGAGCGCTGGACGACTGTGTCCACCGCAGGCCCCTCCCCTGGGCCATTTCGCCCCCAGGCCAGGGAGGGTCTTGGTGTGAGGGACCCGGTGATTCTGTGTGACTCGGGTTCATGGCGAAGGGTGTGACAGCCCTGGTCCTGCTGTCCCAGATCGCACTGATTTCTCCGAAAGAAACAGCCTTCGGCGCCCAAGTTTAAAGGCCCTTTTACCTTCCTGCACAATCAGGGATCTTGAGGAATTGTGATTTATTAATTTTTGAGTGACCGTTTGTAGAATTTTTTCCAAAAAATAGTTTTCTGTTCTTTTTAAAGAAAAAAACAGAACATTTTGGTTGAACTGCACAGCACTGATAGGATTCACAGAATAGCAAAGCAGATAACTCTGGTTGAGGCAGAGTGGGCAAGCCTGCCACCTGGCCGTGGAACTGCCTTCGTCCTTGGCGAGTCCGCAGTAGTCGCTGTCTCAGTGGGAGGAGGAGCTGCTTGGAGGAGGGCTCGGCCCAGCTGGGACGCCAGCCTCCTGCCTGTCTAGGCCTCTCCAGCATCCCCAGTTCCTGAACGCTCTGGACCAGCTCCCTTTCCTGCCTGCCCATCTCCTCCGGAGGTGGCACTCGTGGCTACTCTGGGCCTTGCCACGGGCCTGGACCTCCTCGCCTGGAAGGTGTGAACCCCACCGTGCCTTCTGTCTCCCCACTCCGGCAAGCCGTGAGTCTTACCACAACTCTGCCAGACCACCAGTTCCTCCTACGTTTTTTACCCCCTTTTGGCTTTACTTTCTTTGCCTCCAGCCTGGGCCCCAACAATAGTCTCTGCGAACACTTTCACCAACACACTTGACTCTTCCTTCTCCATCAAGCCACATCCGCCAAACACCAGCGTCCCTGCGTGGCCTTGCTCTCACCATGGCCGTTGGTGGTGCTGCCTTCACTGCCGGAGCCGAGGCTCCCTCCGCCGGCCCTCTGTGGCTGCCCCAACGCCTCTGCCTCTGGCCACTCATTGCCCTGGTCAAAGAGCAAGGGGCACAAGAGGGCCTTGGAGGCGGCAGTGCTGGCACGGTAGTCACTCAGGGATGGGCTTCCAGGGAGCCCACCATGGGGAGCGGCTCAGCAGCCTGGTCTTCAGTGGAACTGGTGCAGCAGGAGGAATGTGATGAGTAGCAGTGGCTCCTGCTCTGACTGGTAAGTGCACAGCAGCCTCCACGAGGCACAGGGCAGGCCCAGGGCCTTCTAGGGGAGCAACAGTGGACTTCAAGGCTGTGGGAGATCTCTGCACAGAGGCTGCGCTGGCCCTGCCTTGACCAGACCTTTGGTGATGACACACACACCAGAGACTGGCTTTCAAGGCCTGGTCTAGACGGACCCGCCACTGCCCTTCTCCACCGCAACCTCCCAAGCTGAACGGCTCCCCTTGTGGGGGTCTTGCTGCTGTAGAGAAGAGAGGCTGCAGGCAGAGGGGACGAGGACCAGGATGCTGCCCTGGACCAGACTCAGGCTAGAAGCCAGGTTGTTCCAAGTCTGCTGGCAAAGGGCCTGAGAAGTGAGTGTGGCCGTTTGGTTGGATTGGCTCCCCCTCTGACGGTTACCTGTGGTCCCAACTCTGGGCTGTTCACACGTGTGGCGACTCTTACTTGTTTTCCCTGTACGATACCCCGTAGACCAAAACCTTCTGGGAACACACCTGCTTTTCTTCTGGGAAACCACCTCATTTCTACCCACTCCCTGAGGTGTGAGTGGGTTTGACGGCACCACACACGACACCTGCCCATGACCCAGGCTGGGACGATCTGCACGTTCAGTCCCCTGGCCTCATGGGAAGAATGCGTGACCAGCAGGGTCCAGTGCATGTCAGCTGCGGGGCTTTTGATAAAGAGGCAGTGTGTTGGGAGACAGTGTCTTTGATCTGGGTTGCCGTGCTGGTGAAATAAACGTGTGGGGCTGCCGGTGGCCGTCTGTCTCCACGTGGCTGGACCCCACCAGAGAGTCAGCTAGTAGCTGAAAGCAGAGCTGAGAGGATGTGCGACCAGCTTCTTGACTCTCCCTGGAGCTTCTGCCTTCTGCACGGTAGACATGCTGCCCCGAACTTTCCAGTTAGGGGAGGCGGTAAGTTCCGCTTTTTGTGTTGAAGTCGATTTGAGTTGAGTTTAAGTCACAAGCAATGAGGAGTCCTGGCCAAGACAACACTGTCCGTCATGCTGCCTCCTGCTTGTCCTGTCTGGTGGGTCCTCACGTCCCCGCGCCTTTGCCCTGTCTCTGCTCCATCCTCCAAGCCGTCTCTGTGAGGATGTCACCTTCCTTCTGCCAGCCAAATACACTTATCTTTTCCTGAGGATGTTCTGGGAAGTGTGGTAGTGGTTTGTGAACAGATCTCGCCCATTTACTGATCTGGAAGCTTCTGGAAGGTCTGTGCCTTGCACACAGCAGATGCTCGGTAAGTCCTGGTGGAAGAGCATTGAGGAGCCTCAAGAGTACACGTTCCGTCAGGTGGAGCCACATCGAGAATATCCCAGGGCTTCTGGGACGCCCCCCTTCCATCTTTACAAGAAAGAGATCTCAGTAGAGGGGACGTGTTGTCGCGCAGTGGTTCTCAAAGTGCAGCCACTGGCCAGCCAGCAACATCAGCGCTGCTTGGAAGCCTGTGGGCGACGTAGCATCCCCACGGCCCTCAGACCTCTGGAGCCTGACTCTGGGGCGAGGGCCCGGCGGGCTCTTTGACAAGCCCACCGGGGATTCCCATGCACGCTCAAGATTGAGCCTCTGCATCGAGGTTCTAACTGACGCTTATTTACACGACACTTCTCACGTTTGAAGTTTTTAACTGCTTCTTGATTTACAAATGAAAGTGCACACTATTCATCTTCAGAGTAATTTTAAGTAAAATTTGCAAGGCCTCATTTGGATAATTAACTTCCTTCCACCTTAGAGTAAACAGAGAAATTCTGAAGTCCAAATGTGTACACTGTTATTTTAGGATTGAGAAAGTAAAGGTCAAAGGAGAAAAGTTTATTTAGCTTGAAAAAGAGCATCTGCACAGCACTTGTTCTGGACAGAACATTGCCGCATGGAGGCAGACACTTTGCCTTTCAGACTCAGTGGGGGTGAAGGAGGGGAGGGACGGTGTGCCCCCCTCAAAGATCTGGGGCGCTTGGAAATGTACTTCTGAGAGAGGCCTGAGTCAAACTGGAAAGGGTCGTTTGAACATCAGATTTAGATGGTTCTTTTTTTATTTGCCCTAATTCAAAAAAAGTGACCTTATGAAATGTCTAGTTATGAATGTTCACTCCCCTTCTTTTATCTTTTTTAAAGAGTGTCTAGAAAAATCAGAGCTGGGAGAATTTTTCTGTTACGCGTATTGCTTGAGGTTATTGAAATACACACTTTCTATTTTATATGCTACCCTTTCCAAAGATGTTTTCTTTTATTAAAACAACTTCACTTTTGAGAATGTGAATTACAGGTGAATTCTTTTGGTCGTTTTCACAGGCTTTGAAGTGTTTTTAAATTGCTCCCACCACCACCAGCATCCCCTCAGTCCTTCAAAAAGGATTTAGCATTTGGGATGGAGTTTGGAACAGAAAAAGCGGTGCCTACTGGTCAAATATTTCCCTGAAAAGGCAGAGCTACCTCACGTCTGAGACGCCCTCTGGTCTTCTCTCTTTGAGAACTGACTTCCTTCTCCAGAAAAGGTTGACATTTCTTAGGAGTGTGCAGGGGGCCTTCCCCACATACCCAGAGTTCACCAGCTGTAAGGGTCACCGTGCGAGGCCCTGATCCTTTAGGCGGCTTCCTCCCTTGAATACGCAGCTCCTGGCGGCCTCTCCAGCTCGGGTCAGAT